ACGTAACTAAGTCTTATTCCATTAGAAAAAATCAGTTAAATATTAAATATTTTTTTTAGTTATATTGAACGTTAAATTAGTTTTTTAAATTTTGAGATGCAGATGTTGGCATCCAAACTTATCTTTTTTTAGCATCTCAAATTTCTAGATATTTAAGATATTTTTGATTTTGCATCCAAAAGTTGCATTCAAATACAAATCTAAAAGTGACCAAACGAACAACATCTGGATGCAAGCATCTAGATGTTGTAAGAATAAATGAATGATAATGAACTGACCTCGACTCGCTTTGCCTCATGTTATCGATATATACAGAGGACTTCATCTCCTATAAAGCAATGGTACCCATAATATGAAGCAGATGAAAATTCGATTAGATTCTTTGATTGTCCAAACAAATTTCTCCAATTTAAGATGGAGACAGAAGAATCGTGGATGAGGACTTACCAATTTTTGGCAGCAAAGGTGTTGAGGTTCATTCCGAGAGGAGAGTTGATTGGCACCACTTTTGTGAAACCCTAGTTTGATTTAAGAAAGAGATCTTGGGCATGAGAAGCTGCAATCGATTATATATGCGAATAGTTGCTTAAAAAAATTAATTTAATTTTTTTTAGGGAGGTTGCGCAAGAGATCGTAGCTTTGTGGAGAAGAACTTGAGGCATCGTGGAGAGAGAGATGATGCAGAAACCGTAGAAGTTTTTTGTTTTTAATTATGTTCTTAACTTTTTTTAAATATGAATTATGAAACACTTTTCACATGTGGCAGAGTTTTATTGGTCGTGTGACTTGTGATTTAGTATAATAAAGATTTGGAAAATCGCATATTTTTTACCTTCAAAGTACAATTTTACTAAACTTTAAACTTCGACGAAATTAGATTCTCGTTATAAACCTCAAAATTCAGAAAACTAGTAGTATACTTTAAACCTCCAAATTACCGACCAAAAAAATTAATAGAAAAATTAATTTCGTAATGGAACAGAACATTAAACGTTCTAATTTTTGTTTGTTGTATTGTAAATTAAAACGTTAAAACGTGCATCGTTTAATATATTTAATAATATAATACATGTTTTATCAAACAAAAGTTTAAACAAATATCCAAATGCAAATTTGCATATCCAAAAAGTTCATTAGGTGTTCCGGTTTGTTATCTAGATCGGGTTTAAAAACATTGGTTACAGTTCTTACAAATCGAATCTCTAATTTTTTTCAGATGTCACCTTCTAATATCTTCAGTTTATTTTCTAGTTGTTCAAACCTCAAAAGTAATTCCTCAAAAATTTTAGATTTTCCTCTTTCGTCATATTTTTTTCTCCACAAACTCTTTCGTCGTCAACTTCAGGCATCA